AACCGAAACAAACTTTTCAAGGCTACTGACCTGTTAAGTCAGTCTCCACACCTGCTTGTTGCATTGCTGATTGTCCCCGTGGCAAACAATGAAAATTTGAAAACTTTAACATCATGAAAAAAACGATTGGCAGCACGACAACTTGTACAGTTTCAGAAAATCCCCTCGGTTAAAATGTTCCGATAGCTTTATTACTGCATATGGAATACGCCTGGAAAGGCATATCCGAAATATTTTGCAACCAAGTTTTTTAAGTCGAAAGGTCTGACGACTGGCTGTTGCTAATGTACTCCACTCTTTCGCTAAAACTCTTCCTTATTATAGAACTCCAAACGACTTTTTTCCGTCTTTCCGATTATGCGACGTTATGTTTACTGCTCAGAAAGATTTTAAAAAGACGCCCGCAGAGATACCGCACTTCGTGGTTTCCTAAAGTTGTTGGTAGCTTCAAGATGTCATCTGTCGCTTTGGAAAATTAGTCAGATCTCCTCCTCCCCTAAATTTGTTTTGTAGACCTCCTCAGTCAAATTTCCATTGGTTTAAGAGTAAAAGGAGCCACTACTTCAGATTAATATATTAAAAAATTCTGTAAGCAAAAAGTACACTAGTGAAACGTACAAAGCAGGAATATTTAGTTTTTCAGGCACGCGCGGCTCAGCATAAAAAAAAAAACCAGAATTAATCTAGCCAAAGCCAGGCGAATGCCATTCCAAATCTGAATGCGTTATAAACACGTCTAAAAATATTGGTGTCTTCCCTAACCAGAAAAATGAGATCGTCCCCAGTAAACTTTTAAAATAATCCGTTCTTTGTTAATTATCTCAACTTAACACTGATGCAACTTTCCTAGCCGTTTGTGCTACCTCAGTAATGGCTAATGTAACGACACTCCTCCGAAAAAATAATTCTTCGTGATTTATTCAGTCCATTCCTGGAAGTTTTTTACAGACAAGCTGCTCAAAAAACTTGAAGAAACTCCACAAACTTTTGATATTCTGTATGATTAAGCTCGTATTGACTTCAAAAATAAAGTTTAGAAAATTATAAAATCTAAAGAAAACATCGATTAACAAACAAACAAGTTCAGCTTTACAAAATACAATGATTCACACTCTGCAATAAACCCAGTAATATTCATATCAATTGCTGATATATGAAATGACTCTTATAATCAAAATTATAAAATAGAATATTACCAATAAAGGTCCGAAAGATGAACACTGGTCAGACCTATAGCCAAAAAGCTTCTTCTTAGGCACTCAAACGATAAAAACTGTAAAGTAGTTGAACATCAACGAAAACCAAAGAAACAAAATTTCAATCAAAGGCATATCACAGTTTTAAAAAGTAACAACGTTCTAATTAAGAAAACAATACATACACGAGGCTTCGAAATAGTCTGAGCATGCATCTTAATTGAACCATGTATAAGAGACGAAGCTGCATTAGAAGCGCAGCGTTCGAAGACAGTACACGTGATCAAGTTCTAAAAACTATATACGCTTATAGCAGCCAAATAAATAAACAGTAATAAAATGACCAAATTTCTTCACAAAGTAACCATAAGGAAATAGTAAATTAAAGATATTCTCTTTATATGACAAAAAGAACACAGAACATAAACAAAAAGCAAAGAAATGATTCAAAATCAGAAATCAAAGACTACAGGAGCTGAGAATCCAGCTTTATTCAAATCCCTCTCAACAATAGACTCATGCAAGGAACACAATGCACCGAAGGTCAATTACTAGAATAGATTTCTGAGTGCATTAGGTATTGCTACAAGGAAAGAACAGAAATTTTCAACATAAATAAATTAAAAGACTAACTGCCTAACGTTTATGTAGAGCTGAAAAAAATAAAGATTTCGGAGCCCTCTTATTTTCATTACGACCATTACAGCACAGTTTTAACCGTCATCTTAAAATATAAGCATTCTTCTAACCAAAAGTAGTCCAGATTAGAAGCAACATCTCTCCTGATAAAAGGAATCTGCTCGATTTGAAAGCCATTAAACTTCCGTAGAAAAAATGAGATCGTTTTTCCTAATGGTAGAATGCAAGAAAAAACCTATGAAGGAAGTAAAACAGCACTGAGAAGCTTTTCCAACACAGACGCACCATTATAAGGTTGAGTTATAAACAAAGTAGTGTACTAGTAGTGTCTAATACACAACTTGGACTGCGACCTTGAAAAATTCTGCCTCTGAATACGGGCGAAACATGAGAGTAACTAACCATAAACTTTCCGCTCTCGAAATAAGGCAGAACCACCATCTGCTAACGGCAGGTGCACAGATCAGAATGGTAATTTCGCACAATCTATGCCTACGAGACTTTTCACGGAGAACCAAACAGAAAAATCTTCACGAATAAATTTCTTGAAGACGATCACAGCTAGGTGTTGCCATACGCTGTGCTCGATTCCACAGCTCTGCATCACCGAAAGTCCGAGCTCGCCACGCAAGAGTTTCTTCTGTAAGTTCTGATGTTTCCAAAAAAAAATTCTACTCATATAGCCAAATAGATAAATTAGTTACACACGACCTCAATGTTCTCAAACCCATTAAGGCAGGTATTCATTGAAGAACAAAAGGATAAATTGAGCGGAGCATAAAGGCATATTTGTGGAAAGTTTAGCGATAGAAAAATTATAAAATGACTCACTCTGACTTCGCTCCTTGTAGCAATTCATTCTCAGTTGAGAAATATACTCATCTTCTACCTGATGTTCTACCTGTTGTAATTTATTTCTGTAGTTAGACATAAAATCTGACTTCACGAAATAAGGGACGCGTAAATCTCTTGTAAACCGTTCTTCGCTGTATTTGCTGAAATAAATCTTACCAGTCACCTCAAGGCAAACTAAAATCAGGCCAAAACAAAAGAAAAAAAACGCTACTTAGATTCATACACAATTTGCATAAAAACTTCAAAAAGTGCAAACTACATCAATTCAGTGAAGTGAAGAATGGAGAGATTTATCCCCTAAACTTATCCACTTAGATCAATAAAATACGCTGATTTAATAACTTTTATAAAAGCAGCAGAAAACAAGTGCGAATGGTAACAAGTTTACCTTGTTCGGTGCAAAGAAAAGGCTGGTTCACCAGCCATGAACTGAGCAAGAAGGCCCAGCAGCAATATCGCAAGTAAAGGTAACAACTGAAGGAAATGAGCGCTGACAGTCTAAACAACGTGTCGTAAAAATTTCAGAAACTGTATAATGAGTAATTTTTCTCACTTAATAATTGACTCAGAAGAAAAACGGGAAAAGACAACAAAAGTATCTAGTACCTGCTCTTGTGGTTCAGGTCCCTGATTATGAAAGTGAAACTGATGTCTTCTATTGAGATGTCCAGATGGATAACCACCGCCAAAAAACATGTTAAATATTTCTTCTGGAGTATATTCAGCTGCAAAGTTAAAAACGTAATTTCTTTAGAAAAACATCATAATTGCTGGTATAACCGCCCTGCCCTCTCTTAAAAGAAGTTCGTCGCCCTAGATGTTACACTGAGCAAAGTTCGAGCCTCATGCCAGACTAGAATTAATAGCTCAACCTTTCCTAAATTACTGCTCTCCCGGCCGATCTACCAAGAGAGCCCTGTTCAAAAAAACTGAAACCACATCTTATCAAACACTGATATTGCGGAAGACATAAAAAGACCCTACCCTCTCTCAAACGAGTTTACGGTGAAAAAGAAAAAACTTCTGGAGAATTTATGAATGAATAATTTTGAAAGACACAATAAACCTTCAAATCCTCTCCCATAATCATATTCATAAAAGCCACTATTGCTACTCCTTCTTTGCGGTGAGTCCGTACCGTACTTGTCATATTGAGCTCTTTTTTCGGCATTACTTAAGACGGCATAAGCATTACCGAGTGCTAAAATTTCAAAACCGAAATCAGATATGTTTCGATTTACGAATAGCCTAAACAGAAAACGGAAAAAGATGAGTAAAAAAAAAAGAAATGTCATAGTCGTTTCACACTTTATTCTGTCTGGATAAACTTCTTCAAAAACCAGCTTACCCTTAAAAGCTTCGGTAGCTCCAGGCGCACGACATTTATCCGGATGAAGCTGGAGTGCCAATTTACGATACTCCTTCTTCAACTGGCTGTCAGTCGCGTCTCTCTTTACATTAAGAATTTCATAGTAATCTTTACAGTGACGTATTCTAAAATTATAACAACAATTTATATCCCTAAAAAGCAAAAAACAGTACTCGGAATTAAGTAAAAGAATGATAATGATGATAAGAAAAATGGTGGTGAAACAGTCCTCTTAATCATGCAATGACTTCTCACCAATCTAGATTCACAATGCAGAAAGTCTAAACCTTTCAACTATCTCTGCTTCCTCTTTCGTGTAATGTACACCAAGTTGTGGTCGACCAGCAGAACGAGACCGCGCTCGCTGTTTTTCTGAAGTACTCGAAGACTCCCCAGCTGAATAAAAGCTAATTAAATCCATCAAGTTTTAAAATCCCAGATCAACTATATAAAAATAATGATTACTCAAACACTAAATCTATGAAACCCATTTCCGTCAAAAGTCCACTGAATAGCTATACTGTGTATGTTAAAAAAACTTTACTCTATTAAAAAAATTACCCTAAAGAACTGTAAAGAAAAAGAGTTATTTGCAAATATAGTTTCCTACACAACAAGGAAGTAAAATATTAGGTTAGTAGTTCAAAAACTTCGCACAATAAAATTCTTCAAAACTTTTCTAAAGGGGAAAGCAATTTATTTTTTTCTCACTAACCACAAATATCAGAAATTTTAGCTAAAATATATTTATGTAAAAAGGATCGACAAAAAATTTCAAGGGAGCAAATACGGCAACTAACAACCATCAGAAAAATTTTTGTTCGCATTCATTGACGGTTGACTACGGCTAGCATGGAAACGGTTGCGTAAATCAGATTCGTTTTCATACTGGTCATAATGTCCGTATCCACTGTCGGTGCCTGTGGCGTTTGATTCGGTGCTAGATTCTCCAAGCTTCTTTGCTTTACTAAGTAAATCTGTAAAGGAAAATGACTATTTCATTGTAGCAGCAGTTCTCAGCAAAAAAGTAATAAATAAATCAGCCTCTTGATAAGAGCCAATTGTAAATAAGTTCTGCCAACGAAAATGACAATCATCTAACATGAAACATTTGCTGAAGGATCCAACTTTTGAGCCTTATGTAAAAATTTGACGGCCTTGGCGGAATCTCCATCCCGTATAGCTTCACGCGCAATTGTAACGCACCGTTGCGATTCTAACCTGTTCGCCTCCATAACAACCATCTACCCTGCAATGCCAAGGTATGTACAATTGAGTAAGAACAAAAGGAAAAAAGAAGAACACGACGAATTCGCCATAAAACCAAAAAAATTATCATACCTGACCTAATAAATTCATATACAGTAGGTACACGATTAAAAAAGATATATATTAATATAATCAAAGAAAGTAAAAGATGATATCAACCCATAAAACAATATTCAACAAACCGTTTAAGCAAAAAAGAGGAAGGAATAACAAGAAATGAAAAAGGGATACACAAATATTGTTTTTTCCACTAAACTTATACACCTTCCGTGCCCATCACCGCTATCATTTCCTTCAAAACCTTTCATCACTGATCCATTTTAACTGGCTGATTCCATAAGTCAATTAAAATTGTCACTTTCTTTTTGTAGAAATTTCTTCTTAGAGAGGGATATCAAACGCGGTCAACCATTTGAAAATTTCACTACAAACACACAAACAAACTACAGGAACACATTTGTTGTTGTTGTTGCTGCTGATCAGTTTTATCAGGACGAACAGCCACCAACAAGAAGACAGAAAGATAGGCATAAAGACAGAGGAAAACAGACAAAGAAAAAGAAGAGGGATTTTGATTCATTGGAGAATAACCTTCGATGTATCTGATGTTGGCAAAACTTTTTCCTCCTTTTTTTTTTTTTTTTGTCCTAAAAATTATAGTCCATTTTGCTAAAGATGATATATTATACTTTTTTAAACGATTAAAACCTGAAGTTCCTAGCGTTACACTGAAGAAGTTTAAGCAAATTTTTTAACGAACAGCAAACAAATTTATGTTATGTCAGACATAAGTAGAAGAATTTTTGTGATTTCTAATTTTTAACAAACTCTTACCAGATATTTTCTATGTCGTAAAAAAAAAAATGCCAAGTGTAATAAATCAATTGCACCAAAAGACACTGATCAACCTCTCTTTTTCCTCCTCTTTTTCTCTCTACCTTTCTCTTTCTGCTTTTCCAAAGTACTCTTGCGAGTTAAATTATCGTCATTTTAACTGATGAAGAAAAATTTTAAACGTTCTAGGAGAGACGACAACCAAATGCCAACTAACATGCATAGACAAAACAATATGAGACAATATAAAAAAAAAAAAGAATAAAGAAAAATTAATAATGTTACCAAATCTTCTAGCAAAACTAATAACTTTCAGAGTATAGACATATGAAACAGAACACCTACTTAAGTGTTACATCAGCAAAATGATACACACGCAAAACGTTCTGAAAGATACTTCTGATTTGTTTCACCACCACTTTCTTTTCTCTGTTTTTTATTACGATATACATTTTACAATGATTGGATGACATATAGAATATCCGCAAATTCACTGCAGGTGAAGTGCATCTTACAAACGATGCTATAAACTCCAAATACAAGAGAAAAAAAAAAAAAAAAAAAAAA